TTTAGATTCTAATCAATATTTAAAAAGTATAGAAACAAAGCAATTCGTTAAAAATTTTTAGAAAATGTAAAGGTTACGAATTTCATACCAATAAAAATATAACTTTTTTTACGAGATTGTATTTAACGTCAATTGAAATCACCACATTCAGATCTTGAATAAATAAAGAATTTTTTATGATTATAACTTTAAATATTTACTTTTATAAACTATATATTGAATTATTAACATATTTTATATTGATGGTTTTTTTCCCTCATGGGATTGAAGATACAGTGAAAAACTTCACAGCTAAAAAGAGATTTCTTGGAGCACAACTGCTTTTGTTTATTACTTTTGTGATTATAAACTGTCAAGCTGATCTGCGTTTTAATTAATTATCGAATCACTCGAGTATAAGACGGGTAAAAAACTAATTTTTTAAGCGAGAAGAAAATGAACTTTTTTTCTTTCTTTTCTTTTTTTTTTAAAAAAATATGATTAAATAGTGTTGTATATATGCGGAAATCTTCCCCCCCCCCCCAAATATTTTCTTTTTTTATTTGTAAAATAAAGATAAATCAGATGATTCTGCAGAACAATATAAAAAAATTCAGCATTTTTACACTTCTTTTCAAATCTTGCTACAGATGGGTAAAGAATGGATTAAAAAAGAATAAAATACTCGAGACTGTATTTTTTTCCACTCGCCAATTATTACAACAAAAGAAGTAGCCGTTATGTGCTTTCAAATGCTTTTAATTCATTATGACTGCTTCACAATATTTGTAATTTTAAGCACCAGAGAAATACATGGGAATTTCGAAAGAACAAAAGAAACTAATGAATAATTTTCACTTTGTATCAAGCTTCGAGATTTTTTTTTATGACAGTAAATTATTGTTACGTCATACATTGTGTGTGTTTTCTTAAACATTGTCTGAATGTTAACATGTTATTGTCTTCTTAATTAGTACTCATTGGCTTTTTAATTTTTTCAGCCCGGCATTCTTCGGAAGCTTTAAAATTGATTTGTTCGAATAGCTTAGTTTTCTTCTCAAAAACAAGAGTATAAAAAGTATGTATGCTATAGAAATTATGGTAATATTTCATGGTAATGTAGTTTGAAAACTTGCGCCATAATGACAGTTTTGTCCGGATGGCGTTTTTTCAGTTTTTAAATCATTAGGTGGTGTATAAGATTAATGCTGTGTGGAGTTCACCAAGATCATTTTATGAAATACTATAGTAAGTCTGGTATTTTGAAGAAAATGGGCATGTTGAAATCGTATATTATCTCAGAATAGCAAATTGCTTTATAAAGATACTAATTACAACTTTAATTGCATAAAACAGTGTTCCTTTATTCGTATGAACTTTATGCTTTGTACATAAAATCAGTTTTAATACTTATGACCGTGGTAACATAGTGGTCATGGTTACGGACTCGCTAGCGTGTTATGAATTCGAGTCCTATTGCCATTAAAGACCCACCTTGTAGAGGGGCTAATGCACGTTAAATCTGTCGTGGCTCGAAGTCCTCCCCTTGTTACTTGATCATGGTTCAAAATTACGAGGGAAGGAGGGGGGGGGTCTAAAATTAATAATCTTCCTTCCGATACTGGTCCATATATTTAAAAATGAAGTACGAATTATATATAAAATGAAAAATTATCAATAGGCAGGGGTGACGTCAGCTGGAAAAATAATTTCCATTTGACATTTTTTAAAAATTTTTATTTATTTATTTGTATTTGAGTTCGTATGATTCATTTGTATTGGAGATTATTGTTCTTGATCCATTTGCAAGATTGCTTGAATAATACTTTTTCTCTTCCCTTCAAGGACGTCTTAAGACTTCTTGAGACCCTGGTTCCCTAAGGAAAAGTAGGCCCTGGGCGCCTACACAAATGTAGACTTAATCCCTGACCCTTAAAAGTAGACGTATGTTGTCAAATACTCGTACAAACAATAACAACTCGTACAACTTACAATCACACAAATTGGCTCGATTGTCTACCACCTTTTGACAAATTGAGTAATGATGGTGTATGGTGGTAGGTCTAGGTCTAAACGTGGATGAGGATCATCACATAATAATGCAAGCTTACCACTGTTTCCAGTTGACATATAGTTTGAAATTTGAGTTTTTTTGGAGAATAGGTCTGGAGAATAGAAATAACATTTTGACCGTTAAAATTATTCGAATCATGATCTTATTAAAGCTAAATTAAAAATGAGGCGAGCCGCTGCCGAGTCCTTGGGCCCGGGTTCAGTTGGCCCGGCCTTAAGACATCCCTGCTTCTCTTGACCTGTTTATAATTATTATTGCTAACTTAAATTATGAATGTATATTGGGAGTTCGTTAATTTGTTTTATGTAAGTTAACTGTGTGCCTCTATAAAAAAAAGGCAAACAAATATTTTGATCCGTCTGTGTGCCTTAAGACATCCCTGCTTCTCTTACCCTGTTTATAATTATTATTGCTAACTTAAATTATGCATGTATATTGGGAGTTCGTTAATTTGTTTTATGTAAGTTAACTGTGTGCCTCTATAAAAAAAAAGGCAAACAAAGATTTTGATCCGTCTGTGTGCCTTAAGACATCCCTGCTGCTCTTACCCTTTTTATAATTATTATTGCTAACTTAAATTATGACTGTATATTGGGAGTTCGTTAATTTGTTTTATGTAATTTAACTATGTGCCTCTATAAAAAAAAGGCAAACAAAGATTTTGATCCGTCTGTGTGCCTTAAGACATCCCTGCTTCTCTTACCCTGTTTATAATTATTATTGCTAACTTAAATTATGCATGTATATTGGGAGTTCGCTAATTTGTTTTATGTAAGTTAACTGTGTGCCTCTATAAAAAAAAAAAAAAAGGCAAACAAAGATTTTGATCCGTCTGTGTGCCTTAAGACATCCCTGCTTCTCTTACCCTGTTTATAATTATTATTGCTAACTTAAATTATGCATGTATATTGTGAGTTCGTTAATTTGTTTTATGTAAGTTAACTGTGTGCTTCTGTAGAAAAAAGGTAAACAAAGATTTTGTTCAATATACTCTGAATGCGGGGTAGAGTTCTTTTCAGGCAGGAATGGCTTGTAACTCTACTCCCCTTTCGAGTGAGTTCGGTTCCCTTGTGCTGTCTGCCAATAACCATTGCATTGCTTTATAGTGTTAATAAACACTCATTCACTCACTGTGAATAGTTGGTGGTTAGTTTCGCAAAATATAATGCTATGCCAAGAATAAAAAAAGGCTTTATATTCGATTTAAAGACCTTCCTCCGAATAGTTGATGTGGATTCTGATTCTAATGATGATAAGGAACTTACAGCTACTTCCAATTTCGAATACGTATGCACAGTATATCTAAATCAATATGCATACGCACTGAAATCTGAATGCTAATTGCGATGTTACGTTGAACACACTCTCGAGCAGCAACGATGTGAAAAGTATAAAAAGTGATATAATTTCCATATTTGATATATTTAGTACTATGCACAAGTATATATTCTATTTTCTATATATTCACTTACAGTTAGAACAGTGTTTTTTTATATTGGGGATATCTAAGTTTAAATTAGAATGTTATTATCAAGATCATTTTTCCTATGATACGGTAATCAACCTTTTGTTATTTTCTTAATCATGTTGACGAATGTCTTTGCCCAAGGATGAAATCCACCTCAGGAAAAATATTTCTTCATTTAATTGTATTTTTCAAACATCACTTTATTCCCTTCATGTATTTTACGACAATTTCTTTTTTCATATTTTGATTAATTGTTTGAATGTGTGTGATATTTTAAAAATTTAGCCTATTTTTTATTTTTATATAAACCTTCTTTCAATTCCTCTACTATTAGTTCACACTCTCTCTCTATATATATAAAGGGTGTTTTTTTAGAGGTATAGAACTTTAAATTGCAATAAAACAACGATGTATTACTCGATTGACATGAATTTTTTTTATTCGAAAGATAATCTTGTGGCATTACATTTTAAATATGATTTCTGGCATAGGACTCTCACGGCTGGCTCGGATGTAGTCCAATCTGGACGTCCAATTTTCGATGACTTTTTCCAACATTTGTGGCCGTATATCGGCAATAACACGGCGAATGTTGTCTTCCAAATGGTCAAGCGTTTGTGGCTTATCCGCATAGACCAATGACTTTTCATAGCCCCACAGAAAATAGTCTAGCGGTGTTAAATCACAAGATCTTGGAGGCCAATTCACAGATCAAAAACGTGAAATTAGGCGGTCACCAAACGTGTCTTTCAATAAATCGATTGTGGCACGAGCTGTGTGACATGTTGCGCCGTCTTGTTGGAACCACAGCTCCTGGACATCATTATTGTTCAATTCAGGAATGAAAAAGTTAGTAATTATGGCTCTATACCGATCACCATTGACTGTAACGTTGTGGCCTTCATCGTTTTTGAAGAAGGATTCCACCAGCCCATAAAGCGCACCAAACAGTCAGTTTTTCTGGATGTAACGGTGTTTCGACATACACTTGTGGATTAGCTTCACTCCAAATGCGGCAGTTTTGTTTGTTAACGTAGCCATTCAACCAGAAGTGCGCTTCATCGCTAAACAAAATTCACTTATGAAAATCGGGAACAACGGCAATCTCGTTTTGGGCTCATTCGACGAATCTACGCCTTGCTTGATGATCGTTTTGATGAATTGCCAAACCAAACTGAGAATAAATCACTTGACAGCTGTTAAATCGGTTGCCATCTTGGAAAGTAATGCCAAGTTAAACTTCTATACCTGGGAAAAAAACACTCTTTATATATATATATATCTTGTTCAAATTTTTAATTGTTAATAAAATAATTTTTATTCATCCACTCAAGTTTAATTACACTTTTCTAAACTTGTAGTAAATGACACTTGACGTTAATACAGTATTTTCAGATATTAACTCCTTAACTATTGAATAATTATTAATGATCAAAATAATAGTCCAACTCCATGTATAAAAAGAAAATTGCTCTTTGTGTCCCTTTAGTGCAATGGGTAGCGTATTGGATTTTTGATCCAAAGGTCATGGGTTCAAATCCCATCTGGGATGGCCTAATTTCTTTCAGACATGAGATTTCTTTTTACTGTAATATTTTATTGGAATAATTAAATTTAATTAATGAATAAATAGTAAAAAACAAGAAAACTAGTCCAACACCATAAATGGAAAGGAAAAGGAAAATTGCAAGGAAAATCGCTTTCTATTTTACCACTTAATAGTGTGATTCTGTCATATGTATGCACATATTTATATTAATTGTGACTATCCAATAAAAAGTAACTAAAATAAAAATTTTCTTTGTTGACCTAACTAGGAATTGACTTAAATTTTTTAAAATTTATATTATTTGTTTTCTGTCTCGTCAACTAATGTTTTAAGTGTTAATTTTTGTTTTATCTTTCCTTTCTACTATTCTCACCATTTATCCATTTTATTTTCACTTCGCAAGCATTTCCTTTCATAAAATGTGCAACTTCTAAAAATGCAGTATTGCAAAATTTAGTCAGAGCATTAAGTTGAATACGAACAGTTTCAAGTTATCCATCAGATTTTTTTAACTATAAATTTAGTTTAATGCCCAGAGTTGAATTCCTTATGTCAGAAAAAGTTATTAGTTAAATTGAAAAGTATTTCAGTATTCTGTTAGAACTTCTCAGTGTTATATTAAATTCAATAAAAATCCAACTAATAAAATAGGAATTACACTAATCAAATAAATTAAGAGAATTTGTATATTTTATCAAATTGCATAAAAAGCATTGCTTCTAGATAAAAATGCAAATCTTGTATGGCAAATACGTAAGCGCACACGAGTGTGTAGATAGAGCCAGCAGAAGAACAGGCTTTTTAAGCGCGCGTAAGTTAAGATGTATTTCGTTCGCCAGCACACCTCGGCATATTTCTTGGTGTCATTTTAAAGCAATCGGTTTAACTTAAATTGTAACGGTAAAAATGAGAAACCACCAAAGTTTATATGATGGAATGATGTTGCGAATTGAGGAGAGACTAGAAGCAAGCCAATGTCAAGTCCAGATTTGTAGAGAGTTCAAATTAACGCCCAGCGTCGTGTGTAACTCATGGAAACAGTTCCAGGATGCTGGATCCATCGAGAGAAAGCCTGGGTAAGGTCGTCCAAGAGCCACGACGGTCAGAGAAGATTGCTATTTGTCAATTATAGCGAGGCGTAACAGAGGGGCTACACCTTCTTAGATCTCAAGGTACTTGTAGGCAGTCATAGAAACCCGCGTATCAAGGGTGACAGTTTCAAAAAGACTTTATGAGAGAGGACTGTTTGCCAGAAGACCTGTTGTTTGAGTCCCACTCACATTTACGAAGAGGAGAGTCCATTTAGCATGGTGCAGACAGCATAGAGGTTGAAGTATGGATGAATGGACGACCGTTCTGTTCGCCGATGAATCCAGTTTCAGCCTAAACACCGATTCTCGCCGTACATTCATATACAGAGAACCAGGGACAAGCTACCTACACTCCAATGTCTTCGAAATCGCCAATTATGGTGGAGGAGGATTAATGGTCTGGGCAGGCTTCATGTTGGATGGCCATACACCTCTCCATGTCTTTAAAAGAAGCTCTATGACTGGTGTGAGATACAGGAAGGAGGTCTAGGAGGCCAATGTTCGCCTTTTCAGGGGTGCATGTAGCCCCGATTTTTATTTTATTTTAATGGACGACAGCGCGAAGCCACTTAGAGCTCTTCTGGTCAACAAATTTCTAGAGAGTGAGGATATTCGTTTTATGGATTGGCCAACTTGATCTCCAGACCTCATCCTTATAGAGCCTGTTTGTAACGCTCTAGGGAGGGAAATTGCAACTCGCAACCCCCCTCCAAGAACCATCCAGGAAATAAAAATAGCGTTGCTGAACGAGTGGGACAAATTGCCACAAGAACTGTGATAAACTGCCTAATTTCAAGTATGACATCATACGGAGAGGCCTGTATAAATGTAAGAGTGGGCCAAATTTGTTTTTATGCTCATATCTTTTGTTAATTTTAAACCTATCGTTTTTATACCCGGCTATAATGCGTACCCTTGAGTTTTGATCTTATTTTTTTGTTCTAAAAGTGCATACTATACTCTCACGCTGCGAGGCCTGGGGAAAGGCATCTCCCCTATTAACCCATTTCTTTTGCTAATTTTTAGCATCTGTTTCCTACCTTCCAACTCCAATAAGTGTTACGCACGATCATGCGTGAGTATTGCAATTGTTGAATAGTTATTTGTTTTGTATTGTATATATATCAATGTATATACATATTGAATTTCATTAAAATTGATCTAGTAGTTCTAGAGATAATCAATCAAGTCTGCAAATTCTCTTAATCTCTTACGCCAATATAGTACAGAGCATGTTACCAAATGTGTTATTTTGTAAGAAAACCACTGAAAATTAATACATTGTATCTTTTATTTACCATGTGATAACTGGTTTGGCTCGAAAGAAATATGTTAATGATTGAAAAGTTATTTTTTAAATGAAAAGAAATTAGTAAACATAATTTATTCATCACTCAGCACTTAGAGTTTTCATATTTCATAAGTGGTTAAAATAACGAATACAAAAAATAATTGAAATTAAAAACCATTTAATTGAAGTAAATAAATAAATTTATAATTACATTAACTCTACATAAAAACCTATCGCATTCCTTTTTAGCATTCTGAACAAACGTTAACCGAATTTCAGTGTCTTCGCAATTTAATCGTCACGCGTCAATTTTCTCTTTTATTTTAAAAATCTACACTTATTTGAATAATTTCTTTCTTCTACATAAAATACAAAGCAAATATTTAATGATGTATCTTTCATTCTGCCAGAAAAGCAAATTTCGAATTCTAAATGAATGTATCTTTGGCAGAAAAAATTAAATGAAGAAAACGGTAACTTTCAATCTCTTATTTCCTCAAAAAATTGATTACGATTCCGTGAACACATATTAAATATATTTTTAGTGCTAGATTAAATGTTGTTGTCGTATGTTTTATCCTGGGATACACATGAAAGAGGAGAGACGGAAGAACAGAAACATACAATACAAACACAGAAGAATGTAGATCTTTTTAAATACAAACTATGATCCCAGCATGAAACAGAAGAGGTGCGCTGCTTTTAATTCGAGACGGGAATCCATTTCAGGCGAAAAAGTCCGACTTCTTTTCCTGAAGATACATCCATGCTTTGTTCGAGATTCGAACCCGAGCCCACACGATTACAAGCTGAGGGTTGTAACGACCATACTGACTGGGAGGTGTTAGATTAAAAACAAGAAAACATAAAATATTAATAATCTTAAATGCACTTTTTAAGGTATCCGACTACGTTCGGAATCGTTATTTTGAAAAAGCGTATAAATGGATAATTTTCATGATATTTAGTGTTACTTAGATTAAAATACATGTATAAAATTGTTTCAAGAAGATTAAGACAAAAAAAAAAATTATTTAATGCAATATTTTGGCAAAAAATTAACTTAGAATAATCTTTATTCAAAATGTTCTCCTTTTATAAAATATGCTTCTATAATAATACTATTTTGTTTATGTAAATTAAAGACTTCTAGAGAGTCTTAACTAGGATTTTTGAAAAAAAATTCACCTTATATTTTCAGAGTTACCATCATTTGAAATAATTATCGGCGTTTTTTTGTTAAAATTTCTCCCCTCTGTTGCAGAAACAATATGAATAAATCCACTTCTAAGTTATATATTTCAAAAATTTTAGTTCAGCCTCTGTACCAGGAGAATGTTTTGAAAATGGGTCATTCTATATTCATTTTTTGTCAAAATATTGAACTTAAATAATTTTTTATTGTAATAATATTCTTAAAACAATGTTACATGCGTTTTCTAATTTAAGTAACACTAAATATCATAAATATTTTCCATTTATACGCTTTTGCAAAATCACGGTTCCGAAGGTAGTCAGATACCTTTAATTTCAAAATGTAGCTGAAAATACTGCATTTCCTCCTTTTCCCACCACATTAGTTAAGAAGCAAAAAGTATATTCAAATAGAGTGACTTTAGAGGTTTTCCCCTCACGCTGTATGACTAACCGACACCATAATTAAAATATTTTAAACTGTTGATTATATACAGAAACGTATAAATCCGAACTAATTGGTCTCGGTCGTCCCGTTTAATGAGTGTCAGATTAAACAAAATAGTCTATAAAAGGAACTAAAATTCAGAGCTAAGGATTCTGTTTTAAAATAAGACAAATCAAAATGGAAAGGTGGAAAATAATTGAACTGGAGAAAATTTGAACTAACACATTACTTACATTATATGTATTACATCAAAAAGAGCATCTTATCAAATATTATGCTATTAATGATTACGGTTTCTTTAATTGGTTGTCCAGATTAAGTAATATCGGTGTAAATGGGATCTGGATCAATAACGATTCTCAGTATATTCAACATTTAATCTGCACATATTTGAAGTTTATCCAATTTAATCATGTATGTTTAAATCAAAACATTTAGCAATCGTTATTGTTTTATTTAAAAGAATCAGTAATATATGTTCATGTGTGTGTGTGTGTTCAATACTTTAAATAATTTTAAACAAATAAATATATTCCAAATATTTTTCAATTTTTTAAAAAAAAATAGCTATTAATATTAAATTTAGAATAAGTGCTGATCATTGTGTGAATCTGCTGAATAAATATTTGATTTAAAATAATAATATTGTTAATCAAGCATACTCTTTAATTTGTTGGAAATAAAGAGCAAAATATGTATATGATTTAATTAGTTAAAAAACAGCATTTTTACTTAATAATATACTTATATGATTCATAAATTTTATAAACATAAGATTTATGTATATATATATAAATATGAATTCAGTGTATAATATTTCAGTTCAAAATACAAGTCACATTTTAGAGCCAAATATTAAATTATAAAATGTTGAAATGAGAAAAAGTATCAAAAATATTATCAAATACTTTCTTATATTTTTATCAAATATATAGTATCAGGAAATATTAAGAGAGATGTTATAATATAATGAGAGATG